TATAAAAAATCTATGGATTTGCCTCTTGACTTTGATTTCATTGAAATTTTACAACAATATTATCATTAGTAATTCAATTTTGGCAAAAATGTCGATATTTATCAAAGTCCTTGGAATTATTGGAATTTTGTAACTTAATTATATTAATTCTAATATATTTTTTCATATTAATTTCAATTTTGTACTACAGACTCGATAGACTAATACTACAGTCTGCATTACAAAATCTGTTACATTATAAATTACTCATTGACAAATTTACTAAAAAGTTATTCTTATTAAGCATTTACTTCTAATTCTCTTTTTATTAAAATTATTTATGTATTTATCTGTAAATGTATAAATGTAATGCACAGTAATATCATTATATTAATATTATAAATTAAATAAAATTGTATTTATAAAAGTAATATGTCAGAAATATTCGTATGATATATGGTATATGTAAATTAAAAAAAATAATAATAAATTTTGAATAAATTTTATCATTTATTTATCATAAATTTACTTAATAGAATATAGAGGATTGTTAACGAAAACTCTTTCGCTATACATACACAATAATAATAATAATAGGTATTTATTTTAGTAACATTTTTTCAATAACATTCACATGTCCTTATATTTTATAATCTAAACATCTTAAATTTCATAAAACACGCTAGTTTAACTCAGTCATGTAAAAATTTACTGTTGAATAATCAACATTGTATTTTAATATTAAACCATTTAAAAACTTACTTAGAGGTTTATCAATTATATTATTGAATTAAAAGTAAAATTATTTTGTTATTTATTTAATATATATATATATATATATATATATATATATATATATCGATACGATATCATTGTAAATGATTTATTTGATAATGTATTATGCACAATAATTTATTATTTGTATAATAAGTTAATATAGATTATTAGCAATATTAATTAAGTATTTAACATATATGATTTAAAATTTTATCTAAATAATATTTTAAAAAGAATACATAATTTTAAGAGTAATAATCTGATAAAAGAAATTTATAAATTTGTTATTTCCATTGTTTTCTATTTTCTTTTTTTTTTTTTTTTAACGAAGAAAATCGAAAAATTACTACTAACTCAGATTACACAATAAAATAATCAATTCATTTTTAATACTACCAAGACAATCTTTTATTTCATGCTCATATGCATTTAAATAATTGACCTTGAAATATTTCAAGGTACGGTCAATTTTTCAAAAATAATCATACTTGGTGTCAAATGTCACGACATCGACTCTGTTGCAGTGTATACCTTTTCCCCGTACACACGCATATAATCAAAGCATTTAAAAGTCACGCAACGTAGTTATAATCGCATTATATGAGTCAACTATATATTATTGCTACTAAGGGTCTGGCGTACTGAAATGTCGGTTCACTTTCCAAATACAGTATCACAATATGTGATATAACAAAATAATCATAAAAAATTTTCTAACTATGTTGTACACATATATAACGATTACTTGTTATAATTGTTATTATTGATACAACAAATTCATATTCATGAGCAATATTCGCGAGTAATATTTATAATAGATTGTTAATAAATTAATTATTAAAATCAATATCGACTACTGAAATCTCAATAATGAATTATAATAAATTAATAAGCATAATAATATATAAATAATTTAAATAAATTATAATTCAATTTCTACTTTGTTTATCAAGATTTTATTTCTCCAGTTTAAAATACAAATTGAGAAGAGAAAGTTTTTTTAATATCGTTATTGCAATTATCTACAATTAACAAAAGTAATGCAATCGGAGCGTAAAGAGACAAATTCACGAGACAAATTAATATGGCAGTTCAAGTTTGTTTTCTCATAAAATTGCCCGTCGCTCTGAAAAGGATCGAATAATTTTTCTTGCGAGTCAAACCTACTTTACTTTTCTCTTCGCTGTACTTCGATTCGTCAAACCCACCCCTATTCTACTCTCGAATTATATTGAAGCGCAACATTTGCATTGCATCTCTCTCTCTCTCTCTCTCTCTCTCCCTCTCTGACACTAGCCCCTCTCACCATCATCCTCATCACTCTTATAAGACGGGTTTCACGTGTTATATATGCAATTATACGTACGCACAAAATTTAAGGGAAATATAAAGTAATTTTGGTAAAAAGCTTTTATATTTTATACAATAATCAAATTATTTAAAAATTATATTCTTAATGTGATCCTCTTGTTTGAAATATAGATTTTGATAAATTAATAATATATTTCAACCACTATTAATATATGTGTGCATATTTTTTCATTTAATAAAACCAAGCATAAATAATAATAGCTAATGTTAGCCATAGTAAAAATGATTGATTAATTTATTATTATAAAGTAATATTATATACTAAAGATATTATTTACAAAAATCATTCTAATTTTCTATAGTAATTTGCGAAAATTGAAGGTCCAGATAGAATAATATAATAGAACTATTAAGCTAATATAAAATATGTAATAAAATAAATTTTTTTATTTTTTCAATATCAAGAATTATTTTCAAATTATTCTTATAAATGTGAAAATTAAACAATCGTTTAAAATTTACATTAAGGTTCATTAATAGCTAATATAATATAATAAATCAGCATAGGATTAATAATACCCAACTTGAGTTCTGTAATTCTTTTTGAAAACCCAATTATTGCTCGATTGCTTCATTGATACTATATAATATATTAACAGATTTCTAAAAATGTTTTAACACGATTAGCGAATTGATTTTAAAATAAAAAATGTTATTTATAATCATTTATTAAACTGATGCTTAATATAACTGTACGTTTATATGCAATATAATATACTTAGTGATAAGCTCTCGAGAAAAAAAACTGTATATACATGATTCTATTTATATATAATAGAATTATCTTATGATTTTCTGTAAAATGTATGATTTTATTTGGTTATGTAAAGTGATAATGAACAATAAAATTATATATGTTTACTTATACCAAAATAAGAATTAATTATATTTCTATTACTTTTGACATCATTTTCTAATTTTAATAAAAATAAAAATTTGTATAATATAAATTATAAAATAATGTATTATATAGAATTAATTTTTATAGTATTTATTAATAATAATAGATGAAGTTTAAAAGAAAATAAGTTTTTGTTAAAATTTTAATTCTTATTCATAATTGGAATAATAAATCTCATAAACTATTCTTTTATGTATTGAAATTAATATATTTATGCTCATTTTTAAACTGACACTTAAATTTATTTATAATATATACCTTTTTTCAAATTTGAATAACTAAATTTTTATTAAAGATTATTTTATAAATCTGTATCTTAAAATAGGTAGCTTACATTACCTAGAAGAATAGATAAAACAATATCGCATGATTATAACGAACGATATAAAAATTGATACGTTAATTGATTAATTTTTCCACTAACACAGATATCTTATACTTAAATAATGATAATTACACTATATTAATTTTCCGGAAAATACAATTTATATAACATTTTATTTATAATTTTTATTAAATTTATTTTACATGACATAAAACTAGAATGAAGGATATATGAGATATTCCCTAGTGAATATGTGTCCTTAATTCAATTTATTCAACCATTTATTTTCTCATTACTAAACCTGTAATTAAGACAGTTTCGTCACATTGATTACTCTATTATAAAAAATATTCGTATTAGAAAGCATATATTTACAGCCTGGCTTAAAGAACTTTAAAATATTTAAATGTTTTTCATTTTTTTTTTTTTTTTTTTTTTTTTTTTATACTAAATTAAAGTAATTGATATATATGTGTATATTCCAATGAAATCCGATAATTTACGAACGATATGCAGTATAAAATTATGAACGAATGTATTTTTAATACTCTTGAATTAAAATAAAAAGGAAAGCAAAATACCGATTATAAATTATTATCTTTTAATAAAAATATTAATAATAGTATGACCAAAATTCTAAACAACACTAACCGTTGATTTAAACTAATTTCGTAATATATAATCAATTGCTTATTCAATTTATATACAAAACAACAATTATTTTTAATATAAATTATGACTTTTTTCAATTTTATAGATATCTAGCTACGATATTTATTAACATACAATAATGTTATATATCTTAGATGAATAAGTAATTTGCTTTATTCAATATAATTGTTTTGGATCATAATCGAATATCTATATTCACATATATTTACAAAAATAAAATGATTAAAGTTTCTAAAATATTACATATTTATATAATAAACCTAAAAATTAGTAATAATATTTCAGAAACTTCAATTACTTAAAATATCTTCATTTCTACCCAATTAAGTATTGTTTCAAATATTTCATATAAAACATTATTTTAGAATATTTAATATTTTAAAAGATATATATATATATATAATATTAGTAATCAAAAGGCTATTAATTCAATAATATAATTGCTACGATTAATTAATATCTAAATGTCAAACCTATTGAATATAAAATTTCCAACCAAATCGATTACGTATTGTACTTTCCTTCATTATACGAAACTATATATATAAAAGAATACATATTCTTCTTATTATTATTAATAATCTTATTAATACTGTAATGTAATACCAGTTTATATATTAATTAATATTTCAATATTTCTATAACAGAGTACAATATACAAAGTATTTTAATACATTTTTCATGTATACGTAGTTTTATAAGTATAAATATTATGCATCATGAGATATGATATAGAAAAATATATAACAAAGATTCAATGTAATTTTCCATATTTTGCTTACTTTTCTTAAGAAAATTTTATTTTGTAAAATGAGATGTTCAGGTAAACTTCCAAATACTCACGGAAGCTTATAAGATTGACCAATTTTCAACAAATTGTAGCAATATTATAAAATATCAAATATATATGTACGCGATAAAGAAATTTACTAAACAACGCCGATAATTCATCGTCTTATTATTGTAACAACTTACCTGCATACTTCAACAGGCTCGCAGCACATTGTAAATGAGTAACTGTGATTTTCCACCAATTAATAACAAACTTTTGATTTACGATTGATGAAAGCGTTGTATATGCTTACGACAATGCGATCCGCGGTGAACTGCTGACGCCGCCGACACTAGATGAGAAAATCTCCAATAAATGAAGGAGCGCGCGCGCGCGCGCCGCACATGATGGAGGCTACTACCCCTTTCTGTCTTTCTAAATCCTTCATGTCCTTCGCTTTCTTTCCTCTTCGCTCCCGTATGCTCGTTAGCTCGCACATTCATTTTTATTTCATTTACGTAATCATCTATTTTATTTTTAAACAATCAATTTTTATCATTAGCCATTCTATGGATGATACAACAGTTATATAAATGAATAAGTATATATGTATGCATATTTCTCCAAGTGAATATAAATAAATAAATAAATATATATGAACTTTATCGAATATCTCTGACAATATTTAAAGTTAATAAATATTACTACTTGGTGTGTTTATCATTTATATCTATTGATATATATATATATAAATTCGGTTAAAAATTCATTATTTCCAATCATACAACTCTAATTTTTTCATACGTATTTATATTGGTAATTTATCTGACGAATCCGCGAGAAATGTTTTAAATACTTATTGCTAAAAAATTTTTTAAATATCTGATTTTTATATTTGGAACAAATACTTATAACTAACACTATTGATTTTATTATTAAAACATGTACATAACTACATTTTAAACTTTGAATTGTATTACTTTAATTAATTGAGTCGAAAATATTAATTACGTTTGTAAATTTTATTGCATAGAATTTTAAATTACATCCACTAAGGTATTAAAATTTCTTATATAATAAAGTAAACAAAATATTATCAATGCAATTAGATGATTCTTATGCAATTATGATAAAAACTTTTATATTAAATCTTTCTATTTCATTTAACAAATATTTGGAAATACTACATTATTTACACTTAATTAAGTTTTAATAAAGTTTTTAATCACATCATAGAATTCATATATAATATAACTAGAGTTATTAAAGTACTATTAGTATAAGTAATAGAGTTTTGTAATTTATTGATATATTTGGGGGGGGGGGTTGTACACGTGTGTGCATGTGTGTGAACATTGATAATTCCTTTTAGGTAATTGGACATTTAACAACATTTACTCATATATTACAATTACTCATATTTTTTATAGATTTTTATATAATATATTAAAGAAGTATAATATAATATAATATATTTCATATATTTCTAATATATTTATATATTTATAATTATTATTATAAATTATAATATATTTATACACTATATATTTTATATTTTTTATTATATTTTATTACACTATATAATTTATACAATATATTTATAATATATTTCAACTTAAAACTTTGTTTTTTAAAAATCCTTATTTCAATTAAACTTTATTTGGGAATTGTGAAAATATTTCATGATTACGTATAATAATTGTTTATTTATTATTATTATTACTTTACTGTAAAGAATTGTTATCGTGCAATAGAAAATTTATATCTCTATTCATTATATTTATTGATTGTAATAAATTTCAATATGATTTTAATTAAGTTTCGAAAAGAAAAATAATTATAACATGCATATAACGTGTATAAAAAATTTATTTAAAATTTATTTGTATGTAATATTTATTTTATAATATTTTTTTATTGAAAATAACGCGTTTGTCATTCAATTAAAATAACTAAATTATAGCAATCAAAAATATAAATATATATATATATATATATATAATATTTCAATGTGGTTATCTCAAATTTCTTTATAATGTATAAAACAAATTCGAATTATAAATTTATTTTTAAAATACATTAAAAAGACACGTATTATATTTCATAAGTTTTATTTTAATATTACTTTTATATTATTTTTATATGTGTAATTTGAGTTTTTAATAAAAATAACTTTCAATGCTACTCTTAAACAAGTCAACTTCTAATCAATCGAATTTTAAAAAAATATTTATCTATCGTACAAGAACGCTTTAAAAACGTGATGTTTAACGAAATATTTAACGTAATTGTGTTAGATATGTACTTTGATTTCTTTTGAAAATTGTTTAATCTATGGCAATTAAATTTATCTGGCGCAATTCTAACTATGGGACTTATTAATTTGATATTATTATCTGATATGGAGTATTCTTTTTTTTTCAATTTATTTAAAATTAATAGAAACTAAATACTTGTAAAGTAATTTCTCATATGCAACATATATTTTTAAATTATACAAAGCCTTCATGTTCAAAGTAACAAACTTCAATATACACCGTTTCAATAAAACTTTTACCGAGAGTTGTACAAATTATCAATTTTTAACATTAGTAAAATTCATAATATTTTTTTGGATTATTTGAGAATTTAATAAGTAAATCAAAATAATATATATCAAAATATATAATTTCTGACATAAACTGTTGCATATACAATGTATTATTAAGCTTTCATTTCAGCAGCTGCTTACTAAAGGTATTGAAAGTAAATGAAAGTGGAAACACGTCATAGGACTTTAATAATTGTACAAATTATATGTATTTTTTATCTTAAATATTCTATAATAATAGTTAAGTATTTGGTTAATAATAAATTTTGTTGCAAATTAATATCCATTCTAACGACCCATGTAATATAATGATGCATAATCAATGATGACTCAATGATGAGAAACGATATTTAAATAAGAAACTGGGAAGAGAAAAGATTAGACGGGGGATAAAATATGTGCGTGTGTATTTGCGATAGAGAGAGGGAAAAATAGCAAGAGGGAGAGCACACGAGGACTCGACGTCGGCGCGAGAACAACCCTGTAGGTCAAGGTCGCGTTGCTGGAATCGGCATCGGTGATGGCCTCCTTGTTGGCCCTGAGACAGCTACGCTAAACAAGTTACGTACTTAGCTTACTTCAATCCAAGAATTTAATGTACGTTCGAGTGCATGATCTGTATACCTAACGATCTATCTTGATATCGAATAGCGATTATTATCAATTAGTTTGTATTCAATATTATTCTTTCTCTGTCTCTCTCATTATATTTTTATCAGCAATTTTCTATATTTTATTCTATATATATATATATATATATATATATATATATATGTATATATGCATATGGATATAGATAATACACATAGATAATTAATATTTTTATAGTAAAAGTATACTTTTTTTAATAAACTAATTATAAAAATTAACAATAATACGAAAGCTTATATTAATATTATTATTATTTCTCTTTTTTTTTACTATAATATCATTAATAATCAATAATTATAATGACCTATATAAATAAAAGTTGTTTATTCTACAGATGCATTTAATTTCATATATTTCTACTAATTTAAAATCAATAATTATTATAAATAATAATTAGTGTTAACAATTTATAAAATTACTAAATCATATAATTTTTAAAAATATTTATTTAGTTCATTATTTTTATTATGAAATGACATATTTGTATATTAACCATATTATATATTAACCGTATAATATAACCATATAAATATTAACCAAATTGTATATTAATATTCTAACCATATACTAAAAATAGTAACATTCATTATTCTTTATCTAAACAATTAATTATCGATATTTTTTATATTAAATGTTTTCTCCTTCAAATTTATTATCTTTCAATAATGTTTAATTTGAACAATTTTGACTAATTTTGACCAACTATGACCAATTTTGACCTATTTTGACCAATTTTATAACCATGACTCGTTAATAATTAACTCTCTTCAAGATTTTACTCAGTTTTTATAATATAGTCGAATTATAAACGTCATTATCGCAGACACACACACACACGCGCACACACACGCACACACAAACAGACGCGCGCGCGCTCATACACAGAGAGAGAGAGAGAGAGAGAGAGAGAGAGAAAGTAGTCTCTTTTACAAAGTAATTTATTATTATCAATTGGCTTTATATCATTTTTAAAAGGTCTCGCATAGAATTAGAATGCAATGTATCCTAGTACCCTACATGTAGTCAAATACTTGGTTGAAGTAAAGCGAGAAAGTAAGGGATGGAAGAAAATTATTTATACTTTCTTTTATTCATTAATTACAAACAAATTTCAGATTTAGTTTTAACATATTATAATTTGTTAAAAGTACTGCAAACAGACTGTTTCTTATAAAATCCATATATAAAAAATAACATTGAAAAGGTATTACTGTCCATTGTTTGATGAATAAACCAATAATACATAAAGATCTATGAAATAAATATAGATTTTAAGAAACGTTAGAATCACAAAGAGCTATTTATTATGCAGTTTTTATATTATTGTAATGTTTTTTAATACAAATATTTAAATTAACATTGGAACTTTAGGTTTATAAATGAGCACAAAAAAAAATTTTAATACAGTCAAATATCTAAAAATAACAATGGAAAATATTATGCGAAAAGACTAATGTTATATTATAAGTTTATAAGAAAACTTGTAATATATCTTATGATCTAGAATCATATAAAGTAAGACGTTGATATAAAATAATTATAGCATTTACATGGTATGAAACGTATCCATCTGAAAATAATAATGCGACTGAAGACCTGAAATATAAAACAGAATATTGAACAGATATGATTAGAATCAATTACATGTTGTTCACAAAAATTCTTTTAGAACTCGCTAGACATCGCGAAAAAATTATATATGAATTCTCTCTCACGATCGATACAAGCAGCCACATTAACATTAACACAATACCATAGCGACACCACTAGAATACGATATATCAATAATAAGGTTTCTGAGAAGAAGGAATAATTTGATTGATGTTTACTAGTAAGAGAAAGAGAATGAAGTATTCTGCAGAAGGATTTGAATAAAATTAAAATAAAGTTTAGTAGTGGATACTTTGAACGAAATTATTCTCTATGACATTCAATTTAATGAATTAATTTTGGAAATAATATATTTGA